GGCACTTTGCGGTGTGCTGGAGTTACAAGGGCGATTAAACCACTGACTCTGGCAGTAAATTCAGTCTCCCCGGGGGCGACTGCTATAAACAAAAAAGTAACTTCAGAGATTTCAAAGACAACATCTTGGAGTTGTGTAAAAAGTTCTGTGAGGACATAAAAGAAGGAGTATTTAACCCAGGGCCGCAGGGAGAAATTCAAAGAGGAGGGGATAGGGAAGTTGGAGTTTACCAAGAAAATGGGGATGATAGAACAGGCTAGAGAAGTACCAGAGAATGAAAGAAGTTATGGCCTTAAGCCTTTGGCTGACTGACAGCTGGCTATCAGAATAGTGGCCAGTCCTACCTTGATACTGACAAGGTGCCCAATTTGTAGATGCCAGTGTTTTGTCTCATGAGCTCAGGTGGTATTCTCACTTGAATAGACTTGGGGATTCACCCAGTGAAAGAATGCATTCGAGAGAGGAGTAAGGCAAATATAGCTCAGTTTACCCACTATTTTGTAAAGGGTTTGACCTGCTGCCCAATGAGGCTGAAGTGTATCTTTCTCTCATTAAAACGTCACAGGATAATCCTCTAAGACTTCCCAGTTCCAGTCTCTCATCCATTCACTAGCCAAGTCAACCATTTATAATCTAAAAATTGGAAATATAATTTTTAAAATAGTTTCCAGAAGCCTAAACATGAGTTTGCTACATTTGCGTTGAGCGTAAAATGTATTCGGGAAGTCGATTTTTGTTTCTGATCTCTTTTATTTGTAGCAGCCAATGAGAAAGGAGAAAGGGGGAAAAAATCCCTCAAACTTGTAGGTCCTGGTCATTTCCTTTATTGTTTATTGTGGATGAGTGTGTGTTTCCTAAAGATTAAGGGAAACAGTCACTTGAGAGAGAGCCTAGAGCCCTACGCCATCTGGTCAGTTAATGTGAGATAATTCCAGGGCAAGCATTTGGTCCCTGAAGTCTGAGCAATCACACAGAGCCTCGCTTATACAGTCAGGCAATGGATGAGCAGCAACTGGTAGAGATTCAGTGTTTCTCTACTATATCCATCTCCTGCTTCCTAAACTCTCTAGATTTAACAGGTCCCTTTTAGTACACTCACATAAAATGGATTATAGAAAAAGGAGCTTCTGTCTTCTGTGGAAGTTTTTAAAAGATACTGTATAAGATTCTTTCTAATTTCAAAGTCTATGATTCATTCCATACACTAAGTAAATAAATATTGAACATCAGCCATGAAAAGGTATAGGTAGAGGGCCAGGGCCCGGTGTTAGAATGCTTGGACTTCACCCAGCTCAGTCCTAAATTGCCCTGAGGCCTCAGGCCAATCACTTCTCTTCAATCTCTAGACCTCAACTCTTCACCTACTGAGTGAGGAAATTGCAGCAGCTCTCCGAAGTTAAATGCTATGGTTCATAGGGCTAAGGTGTCTAGAGCTTGATTCTAAGGGTTAGGACTGCTGAGGCAAGACTTCCAGGAAAGGGGCCGGTTAAGTGGAAATCACCCCAGGCCAAGTTTAATTAGAGATGAAGGCACAGAGTGAAGGAATGAGGGTCATGGAGGACAGGGTCCTTACCTCAAACATAAAATAAGGAGTTGGGTTAGATTAAAGGTAAGACATAAGTTTTGTTTTAAGTGCCAGTTCCAACAATGAGTGCCTTTCTGAGGAGGATTCTAAGCATCCCAAGTATGTGACAGTGTTGTAATTGATTGGGAATGTCTGCGTCAAGGACAGGGAGACAGTTGGCCTCTGACTCGGGTTTGCTATCCCTTGATGAGAAAAGCCCCGTGAGTTCTTTAAGTTTTAAATTCTATGGTGCTGCTTAATCCTTGAGAGGCTGTAATGTCTGTAATGTGCTGTGTCTAGTTTTAGCAGAGAACCCACCCCTGCCCCTGAACCAGACCAGAGACTCTTGAGAAGAAGCGCCAAGGAGAGGTCTCCTCCCAAGGAGGCGGCCCCTCCAGGCCTCCATGCCTCATGGTGCCAGAGGAGTCCAGTCTGGAGGCTAGGCTGACATTCGGCCACACTCCCAAGAGCAGTGGCATTAGCTGATAGAGGAGTGAAGAAGGTATAGGGAGAAAGGACACTAATGCCAATCGAACCCTTACTATGTGACAGGCAGTCACCAGTACCCCATATAGCTGCGTTATGCGTCCTAGAAGAAGGCACCCCTTCCTCTGGACATGGGTAGCCCCACACCCGCGTGCAGAGCTTGGCAAGTAAAGGCTGGAGCTCAGCCACTGGCGGTTGCCTCTGGCCACTCCCTGACCAACAGCAGTACACGGCAGCCCTGGCGCCGAGCCCTGCACAGCAGCAGGGTAGGCAGGGCCCTTGCCCCTTGGGCAAGGGGAAATAGGAAATTACAGTACGTTGTGATGAAGACTAGAAGTATAAGGAAAGCAGCCACCAGGAAATGTTCAATATTATCTGAAGGACTAGAAAATGGGGATGGGGAGCAAGGCAGGCTTCAGGGAACCCAGATCTTAAAGGATGATTAGTGTGTCAGGCAGACAAGGAAAAGAACTTTAGCTCAGGCTGGGAGACCCCCATATGCAAAAGTACAAAGGTGAGAGACAGCATTTGGATGTGTGAGTGGCTCCTGTCCAGAGTATGTGAGGACGGGATCAGAAATAAAATGCGCAGACAGACAGGCAAGATCCAGAAGTCTGGCTCTTGTCTTTCAACAACAGGGAAAAAGAGGAACCAGACGAACCCCCTAAATGGGACCTCAATTAGGAAGCTACTGAAACTGCACAGACAATAGAGGTTTAGGAGGTAAAATCAGCTAGGCCAGGTAGTAGAATTAATATGGGGCTAAGGGAAAGTGAGGGCTCTAGGATGTCACCCAGAGTCTGTGGCCTGGGTGAATAAAACAATGGCAGTGCCATAATTGCTTAATGGGCACAGAGTTTCCGTTTCGGAAGATGGAAAGAAGTTCTGGGTGGTGGTGATGGTTGCACAACAATGCCAATGTCTTAATGCCACTGAAGTACACACTTGAAAATGGTTAAAACAGTAAATTTTATGCTATGTATATTTTTCTGCAATTTTTTAAATGCAGAACAAGGGATGGCGGTGCTATTCAGAGGAAGCAATACGGAGAAGGACATGACAAATCACAGCGCAGAAGCCTCAGCTATGAATTTCTTTCCTTAGTTTCCCAACAAGCCTCAGATGCTCCTTCGTCTGGATTTTTGTCTGCACTTTCATATACATCCATTCCACCACGCTTCCATCACAGAATCATGTTTGCATGTCCAGCTGCTTCTGGAATGCAAGCTCTTTGAGGGCAGTGGCTCTCATTTCACAGCCTGGGTGTGTGCCTCTGGCTCTGACTGGGTTGAACGGGAGGATGAGAAGGGGGAGAGGGCGCGCGGGAAGTGGAGGGAGTTCCGGCCAGTGGCTTTTTGTTCCGTTATGAAATAACGGAACATGCCATCATCTGCTGGCAGGAATCTGGTTTGAGGCTTAAAAAAGACTTGGAATTATTGAAAAAGAAAATGGGCATACAAGCAGATCAAAGGAAAGAGAAAGGATTGTCCCAGGCTGACACAGCTCAGGCTGTGATTGCATCGGTATAATTAGTGGTGTGATTTCTTCCAGCTGTGTGTGACTAGCAGCAGAACGCAGAACAGCCGAAAGGACCCGGAGCTGGAGTTTTGCTAGGTGTGTGGGTAGGGAGTATAAAAAGGCAGAGAACCGGAGGTGCTGGTGAGACAGTGGTTTGCGTGTTTGACTTGACACCCCATCTGGGTTGGGAGGGAGTGAGGTCGGAACGGAAGTGACACAGGGAGACCGAGAGCTGGGTGATGTCAAGGAGCATATTTGGTAGGGTGAAGGGTGAGTGGGAGTGAATGAGCGAGGAAACTGGAAGAGGCCGAGCTGGGAAAGTAGGATATTCAAGTTTAGGACTTTGGAGGTGATGTGGTCCCCGATGATGATGAGGTCTGGATTTGATGCTCCAGAGATGGAGGCTGAAGGGAAACGAAACTGAAGGGGGATGATGTTGAGCAGGTCAAGGAACTGTCAGGCCAAGAGGCTGATGGGGCACCCTCCTTGTGGGGCTGAGAACAGGGCTACCATCTTGCACAGAACAGCCACTGCTTTCTGCTGCTCTCTCTGCCCCTCCTCAGCAGATGGCTGCTCCCTGCAGTCAGGAGTGGAAATGGCAGGGGAAAAAATGGATAAGGTGTAAAGGATACCACCTGGTAGATGGCCCTGTGGCTCCAGGGACATGTGTGATTCTCAGAGGCCAAGGACTGGTTCAGCCTCGCTGCTGCCTGCAGCCCCGTGTGCTCAGACACAGACCTCGTGACATTTTATCATTGATATTCAATGTTTCCTGGGGGCAGCTTTGAACACTGTGAACTGAATAATAGAGATAAAACTGGAATAAGCTAGCTTTGATCTACTCCAGAACAGAATAGCCTGACTTTGTGGTTGCTGAAATAAAGCCAGCTCTCAAAACTAACTCCACACTTTGTTCCTGAGCTTCAAATTATCTGTTTAAAACCCTGAGATTTGAAATGTAGGTTTAAGGCCAGTGATTCACTCTATTCACAGTACAGTTGTCATGACTTAAAAAGTCTCATTTTCAGAATATTTGATATTGAAAACATTCAGTCCTCAGTTAAAACAAACCACATTCTACTTTGATAGGTGGAAAGAGTCATCTGACTCTCTCTTAGAGACCCAGAAATAATTAACAGCAATCAAGAAATGCCCCTCTGGTTTCCAAAATGCCCCCGGGAGGGTAAGACCCTCCAATCAAAAGTCCTTGACTTAGACAGTGGAAGTGGGTGTGAATGTGGGATGGACTCAGTAGGACCTGAGGAGTAAAGGAGAAGGGGAGGGTCTCAAAACGACTCCCCGATCTCTGGTTTGGAGCGCTGAGGGGTTGTGGATCTTTGAACATGGGAAGGGGCCCAAGAGTGGGATAGAAGGGGGTGAGGAATTCAATAGTTGCCTTTCTTGATTGCGGAGGTCTGAGGCACCAACCAAGATGAAAAAAGTTGGAACAGGGGAGGGGACCAGGCCTGTGAACGTGGATTCAGGAGTCACCAGCGAACAGATGGTAGTTGCAGCCAAAAGCGTGAGCGAGATTGCCCAGGGCCTGGGAGAGTGAGAAGAGCAGAGCGGAGGGCCGAGGGGGCCCCGGGCACACCCGCAAGGCACCGTGTGGGGTGGGGACACTGCCTCTGCTGCATGCTTCCTTCTGTTTGTCTGTCTGTCAGGACTGCCCAGACCAGCATAACTGAGACAGGCCCGAGGTGGCACTGTTCTCTGGCCTTACCCCCAGCCCTCAATTCTTAACCAACATGTTGAGGGCCTCACTTCTTAACCAACTACACCGAGGGTTCCAACGTGCCTTTCTACTGGGCTTCGTGCATCCCTCGGCCCCCACCTGCCCCTGGCCACCTTACCAGATACCCGCACCTTAGCATCGCAATAACAAACTTTTTACGGCACCTCACAACTTATAAAATAGTTTTCAAATGCTTGATACTCTTTTTAAAAATCATTCCTTACACCAGTCCTATGAGTGAGGAATCCTTATCCCCATTTTATGGGTTAAAAAACTCAAAGAGGATAATTTGTCTAAAGCCACACAGCTATGGGTGATAGATATTGGTCTCAAAATCAGGACCTCTGATGCCGGATTCTGCATCTGATAACTGCGCAGCGCAACGTTTTCCACACCATGGGAACACAAGTAATTAGGCGTGAAGGCACTGACTTCATTTAGCGGGGAAACAGCCTCTGCCCTTACCCTCTGTCTCAGTGGGCGCCTCACCCCTGAGATGATATAGAAACCAGCTCAGGATAACACTTCTCAGTAAGTATAGTAGAAAGATCATGAGCTTCCAACTGTATGAAGGTCAAAAACAGGCAAAACCCAATAAAGTCTCAAAGAAAATCTAGCATTGATTAATGTAAAATTCAGGATTGTGGTCCCTCAGGGGGCCACCGGGGAGATACACATCAGGTACTTCAACGAAACTGGTGACATTCTAATTCTCAGACCAGGTGGTGGGTCCCTGGGCTATGCAAGTCCTTAAACCAGGCAGATGCAGATAATGTGTTTGTACATAAACTCACGGCAAAGAGACAGATATGCCGCTGCCTAAGAAATGATCAGGTATTTGGAAGTGGAGGAGAGCAAAGAGAGACATGAAAAGGGGGGCCAGAGCCTGGTGAACCTGCAAAGAAACACAGTGGGGAGGGAAGGGAAACAGAAGCCGATCTCTAGAGCCCAATTCTAGAACTGGACAGAAATGTGCTTAACTCAACTTCATCTCTTAGGAGCTGAAGTTAGGTGGGCAAGATCCGGGTCACCTCAGCTTTCTCATCTGTGAAACCGGAACAAAATAGGCACATCCAAGGGTTATCGTAAGAATTAAGTGAGAAGATAATGTGTGGGGGAGGAAGAAACTTTCCCCTATCATTTTAGGCTCTCCCAACTGGTGCAATAATCAAATTGAGTTGAGATGGATTAACAAGAGAAAATAACTCAATTTAATTATATACATGTGCATAGGAACCCCTCATAATTGGGAGAGTCAGAGACCCCACACAAAAGGTTCAGAGACAGAAAGGGGAAATGAGGTATGTGTGACATCCGGACAGAAGACAGGGTGAGGTAAGGCTTCAGCGGGGAGGAAGGTCATTTGCAGGAGATAAGACGAACAGATGTTCAGTAATTACAAGTTTGCCCTGCCCTATAAGTAGGTCATAAAAAGTCATCTCTGGTGATAACTTGTGGGCAAGGCCACAAATTTAAATTCTTTAAGGGAGAGATCAAAGTTTCTCCTGAGCCTGCAGACTGTCAATTGCCATCAACTCAAAACAATCCACATGCCGAGTGGCACGTCTTAGGGATGCCTTTTCTGAACCCCTTCACTTGTAACCCTCCATGTGGAGCTGGCCACCTAATTCACGCCCCTCCTTTCCTGTCTTACCACACCTCTCCCTCCCTGCATGCCCACTCCTTCCTCAGCACAGCTCAGGCTAAAATCAGCCCAATTGCTCTTTTCCCCTCAGAGATATTTATAACTGTGGCCGCCAGGAGTGGCCTGAGACAGAGGCCTGCTGCCCTCAGGTTTGGACCGCTGGGCTTGTGAGTCACCACAGTTGGGCTGTTATAAATAGTTCACGCTGGAAACGCCTCTTTTTTAGGAGAGAAATGTTGTGCTACCCACGTTTTCTTCTAACGACAGAGAAGATTTCAGCCCCAGCCCCGGTGTTTGCTGTCTGTTGACAGGAAAGTCTTCCTTAACTTATGGTTCATACCTCAGCCTTCTGAAGTGCTGGTTATGTTCAAAACCCTGACAGAAAAGGTTTGTATTTTTGTGTGTGTGCCTAAGTGTAAACTGGCTGGGGGTTTTTTCCTCACGATTAAACATATCAATTTCAGAGAACATCTCTTGTTTTTTTCCAGGGACATCTGAAAATTGAAATCTTTTCACAGTTCCTAATATTATTCTATTACAAGAATTTTTCCTCATATTATCATTTCTCTTGGGCCTCATTATTTCATGAGTTCTGTTTCTCTCTGGTCATTAATGAGCACTAATTCAAATTTCCAAAGTTCTTCATTATTCCTCAATTTCCTTCCAAACCCTTCAAAATAAAAACCCCATCCTGATTCCCTGAAGCTCGTGAAAAGTTGAGATCACATTTAAGCACAAGAATCAGCTAATTCCTGTTTTTTGGGAGATTGCTCTGCATAGTAAGTACCTAAATTGATAGAGGATAATATTGGCAACCATTAAAAAAGTAGTATAATAATACTTAAAGCACTCAAATAAGTATTTGCTGAATAAATGTTGAAAAGGGTAGTTTGGGAACATTCTGATTTTTCTTTGTTAGTGAAAACATGTTTAACAACCTAGATTCCTTACACTTTCTTTTTCCCCCCAGCTTTATTGTGGTATAATTAACAAAGAAAATTGTACAATATGATGACTTAATATACCTATACATTGTGAAAGGATTACTACAAGTAAGTTAATTAACACATCCATCACCTTACACAGTTATCTCTAGCGTGTGCATGTGTGATAAGACCATTTATCTACTTTCTTAGAAAATTTTCAGTATTATGTGAAAAATAATACAAACAGAGTTTCTTCAACATGGAATCTGAGTTGCCATCCCTTGCACATCTTACTCCTCCAACCTTTGGTGTGTTTAAACTGGGAGAAACAAAACAAAACAAAACAAAACAAAAAAAACACCTTTGGACTGCGCCTAAAGCAACATTGTGTTCCAAACACTCTTTGGAAAGTTAACAGGAATGCAGGCATTCTGACTACTGGACTAAAAATTAAAGGCTTTCTTTAGAATTAGCACCACCATGTATAGCTAGAGAATAACTTAGTTTATTTGCATCTATAGAAATGCCATCCTTGATTTATTAACAGCAATAGAAACTTCTTCCTTCTCTCCATGTAATTATCCCCCTTCCCTTCCTCATGAAAATGCCTTGCCTTTACCCTCCTGATCAGAACATTATTTTGGTTTCTGCCTGAATCCATGCTTCCCAAATAGCTATTCTTTTGGATCTCAAATAAATGTTTGTTGCCTCTCACTTTGGCTTTTTTTTTTTTTTAGGTTACCATGTACAATACAGCATTATGGACTGTAGGTCCCATGCTGTGCATTAGATCCCCAGAACTTTTCCATCGTATAACTCAAAGTCTGTATCCTTTGACCAACATCTCCCCATTTCCCCTACTCCCTGGCAACCACCATTCTGTAAGTTTGACTTTTTTTAAAGATTGCACATGTGATTGAGATCATACCATATACATCTTTCTTTTTCTGGCTTATTTCTCTTAGAATAATGTCTTGCAGTTCCATCCATACTATTGCAAATGGCCAGATTTCCTTCTTTTTCATGTGTGTGTGTATGTCACATTTTCAAAATTTATTTATCCACCCACTGGATTCTTAGGTTGTTTTCTTAGCTTGGTTATTGGGAGTAATGCCATAATGAATATGGGAGTTTAGATAATCTCTTCAAGACACTGCTTTTGTTTCCTTTGGATGTATATCCAGGAGTGGGACTGCTGGGCCATATGGTAGTTCTACATGCAAAAGAATGAAACTGGGCTCCTATCTTATACCTTTACATCTTTTGCAAACATTAACTTGGAACCAATTAAAGACTTAAATGTAAGACCAGAAATTATAAAACTCCTAGAAGAAAACAGGAAAATCTCCTTGACATTGGTCTTTGTGATGACTTTTTTGGATATAATACCAAAAGCACAGTCATCAAAAGTAAAAATAAACAAGCGGGACTATATCAAATTAAAGAGCTTCTGCACAGCAGAAAAAAACAACCAACAAAATGAATAGGCAACCTATGGAATGGGAGAAAATTTGCAAACCATATATCTAATAAGGGGGTAATACCTAAAATATGTAAGGAATTCATACAACTCAATAGCAAAAAAAAAAATCTTATTTTAAAATGGGCAAAGGACCTGGATCGACATCTTTCCAAAGAAGACATACAAATGGCCAACCAGTAAATGTAAAGGTACTCAACATCACTAATTATCAGGGAAATGCAAATCAAAACCACAGCTATCATCCCACACCTGTTAGGAAGGCTATTATTAAAAAGACAGCAGAAATCAAGTGTTGGCAAAGATGTGGAGAGAAGGGAACACTTGTTCACTATGGATGGGAATGTATTGCCTAGCTGTTATGGAAAACACTATAAATATTCCTCAAAAAGTTAAAAATAGAACTACCGTTTCTTTCATTGAAGAACTTTTAGGAGTGTGTGTGTGTGTGTGTGTGTGTGTGTGTAACCTTCTTCAGGTAGATCATAAATTTTCACTTTTCCTTCACTTGAACATTAATATTTAAGATCCAGGACTTGATTTGTATTTGTATGTTATCCAGGAGTGTGCAACCTGCAGCCTATGGGCTGTGTGAGTCCCAGGATGGCTACGAATGAGGCCCAACAGAAAACTGTAAATTTATTTAAAACATTATGAGATTTTTTATGATTACATGTTACAATGTATTTAATGTGTGACCCGGGACAACTCCTCTTCTTTCAGTGTGGCCCAGAGGTGCCAAAAGTTTGGACACCCCTGGAACTATGTTGATAAATATCTATGCTTTGCTTACAGGTATTCCCTCAGGGCAATGTTGTCTGAATTGGGGTCTCTCCTAGGAGTTATTTGTGACCCTTGTAATTTCTCAGTGGCCATACAAACATTTTTTGATGTATTTATGATCACCAATGGCTTTAAACAAAGAGAAACACGTTGTTTTGAACCCCTACCCCAGGAATGACCTAGTCCAAAGGCCTATAACCCAGTTTATGAATAGATTTGATGTTCTATTTTTCATCAAATAGCCTATAACTACTATCCTATATTATGCTATGAAAATGTTTATCTAAATATTTGTGTTTAAATATGTCATCTTTAATAATTGCTCATGTATTTGATATGCCCTTACAAGGTTCTTAAAATTTATTTCCTTGTATTGATTTTACCCACAGGAAGCTTTTAGAGCCTTAAAGCAACTCTACAGCTGATGGCTCCTCTCTATGACATTGCGGCCTACCTTTTCAGCTTTGCTAAACTTGGGAATTGTCCAGCAGGTTCTGAATTTCCTCTAAGTCCTAACCCTTTGAGCGGTGACTGGGGAGGAACCGAGGGCATTGGTTAGTGATTAAAGGTAATCAAGCCACCTTCAATGTTTCATTAGAATTCTATAAAACTCTTTTTCCTTCCAGCTTTACTGAGGTATAATTGACAAATAAAATTGTAAGATATTTAATGTGATGATTTGATACACATATACATTGCAAAATGTTTCCCTCAGTAATTACTAAGAAGTTCTTAATAGTTGGAAAGACAGAACTAAAATATTTTCTCATAAATGACTGATAAGGACAAAAGGAAAGTCCCATTATACACTGTATCCAAACTGATTAATTCCACATTTGCAGGTTAACCACAAAGTATACCAAGTCAGGAGTGAGGGGGCCTCTACCACTTGGTTCCTGGTAGCTAGACACTTTCCTCTCTGGGTTTTGGTTTGTTCATCTGTAAAATGGGGATGAAAACACTTATCTCTTGGAAATGTTCTGTAAACTGAAATCTATGTAATAATTATTTCATTCCCTTTCCCTTCCTGGCCTTCGGGAACTAATATGGCAAGGTCGGAGCCAAACGTTCACCATCAGGAAGCTTACAGACAGCCCTTGGTTAGCCAACAGTGGCCCAGTGGTTCTGTGGTAAGAACGATCCAGCGAGGCTTTACCTGTATCTGCCCAGTGCTAATCTGTGAACTCTAACTCTGCACTAGGTTCCAAAATAAACACACAAGGTAAATTAAAGATACTTAAATGTTTAGTAAGCTGGTTTTATCAGAGGCAAGGAAACTAATCTTGTTATTTTAATAACTCGACTCTCATCTAAATTACGTCATTAGTCGTGTTAATTAATAGCAATATATTATAACATAGTAGCTAAGGATTTTAAACAACGAGAAGCAGCAATAAAATTGGGTAATATGCTTATTCAAACTTAATGGTCTTAAATGTACTATAATCTGAATCTTTTCTTCTCTGATCGTTACATAAAGAAAATACATTTTTGGAGCCCCTGATTGGTTTGCCAGTAGATTTGCATTATGCTAATGAACGCTGAAGGAATCTCTAAGCGTTCAGGTGGGAGACACAGGGAAGTGGGTGAGTGCTGAGCCACGAGGAAGATCCTGCCGGTGAGGAACTGCAGCGCGAAGTTGGGTTTTAGGGGGAGGGGCAGTTGGCACGACTCAGTAGAAAGCACAGAATTGTTGTAGAGCTTTCAAAACTACCAGCATCCAGAGATTAGACAAGTTCCAAAGCACTCTTTGGTCCTTTCCTTTTACTAATTCAGGGGCTGTCATAAAAGAGGTTTACTCAGAAAATAAGCTGAACCTCTCTCAGGAGAGGGCGTGGGGGCTGGGCTTCAGATGAGGACAAGAGAAAGGAGGATGGGCCAGGGAAAATGCCATCCCTGCCCTCAAGATGGGGACACAGGTGTTACATGGAGATGAGCTAGAAGGTGATATAGAGCCAGA